TTCCTAATCTTAGAGAGGAAAGCATTCTGTCTTTCACTATTTAAAAAAAAATTGTTCAAATACATTTGTCTCCATTTTCCCGCCACCGCTTTCCCCTGCCCCACCCACTGCTACCTCCCACCCTCTATCCTTCCCCACCTTGGCTTTGTCCATAGGTCCTTTATACATGTTCCTTGATTTGACCCTTCCCCTTCTTTTCCCAGTTACCCCCTCCCTCCTTCACTCTCGCTGTTTTTCACTATTAAGCATAATGTTAGTTGTATGTTCTTTATAGATACTGTTTATCAAGTCGTGTTCTCTCTCTCCCCCCCGCCAGCTTACTGAGAGTTTTTATTGTACTTGGGGATTAGATTTGTCAATTGCTTTTTCTGCATCTATTGACATGATCATATGCTTTTTTTCTTTAGTCTGTTAATGTGATGGGTAACATGAATTGATTTGTGAAAGTTTAATCAACCTTGCATACCTACAATAAATCCCATTTGGTTGTAGAATTTATACAGTGATGTATTGTATTTACTAATATTTTGTTTTGGATTTTTTGCATTTATGTTCATAAGAGATATTCCTTCTTTAGTTTTCCTGTATTGTAATGTCTTTGTGTATTAGAGTAATGCTGGCCTCATAGAATGAGTTAGGTAATACTCCCTTTGCTTTATCTTCTGGAAGACACCATAGAGAATGGTATAATTTCTATCTTAAATATTTGGTAGGATTTACCAGTGAACAAATCTGGGTCTGGTGCTTTCTGTTTTGGCAGGTTATTAATTATTGGTTCAATTTCTTTAATAGATACCAACCTATTTAGATTTTCTATTGATTTTTTTGTGTGTGAATTTTGATAGACTGTGTCTTTGGAGAAATTGGTTCTCTTCATCAAGGTTGTCCAATTTATAGCCATAGAGTTCTTTATAACACCCCTTGATTTCCCTTTCAGTGTCCATGGGATCAGTAATGATTGTTGCTCTTTCATTTCTGACATTAGTCATTTGTTTCTCCTCTTTTTCTTTCTCAATTAGCCTAGCTAAAGGATTATCAATTTTCTTAATATTTTCAAAGAACCATCTTTTGATTTTGTTGATTTTCTTTATTGATTTCTTGTTTTCAATTCCATAGATATCTGCTCTGATTTTTATTATTTCTTTACTTGTTTCCTTTTATTTGTTCTTCTTTTTGTAGTTTCATAAGGCAGAAGTTTAGAGTACTGATTTTGGCTCTTCCTACTTGTCTAATATATGTATTCAAAGCTATATATTTCTTTTTTGCTGCACCCCACAAATTTTTATAAGTTATATTTTTATTTTGCTTTAGTTTGAAATATTTTAAAATTTCCCTTGAGATTTCTTTCTTCTTTTCTTTCTTTTTTTTTTTTTTTTTTGGACTCACATGTTATTTAGAAGTGTGTGGTGTAATTTCCAAGTATTTTGGGATTTTTCAGATATCTTATTATTATTGCTTTCTAGATTAATTTCATTGTAATCTGAGAGCAGATTTTGCATGACTGCTATTCTTTAAATTTGTTAAGGTGTGTTTTATGGCCCAGAATGTGGTCTGTCTTGGTGAATGTTCCGTATGAACTTGAGGTGAAGTGTGTACTGCTGTGCTGGATGAAGTAGTCTATTCACATCAATTAAATTGAGCTTATTGATGGTCCAATTCAGTTCAATTATATCCTTTTTGATTTTCTGCCTGTTGGATCTGTCAGTTACTGATAGAGGGGTGTTGAAGTTCCCAGCAATAATAGCTGATTTATATCATTGCAGTTACATCTGTTTTTTTCTAATGTATTATGAATCTTTGTTGTTGACTGTATACTTAATAAAGATTGCTATGTCTTCTTGAAGAAGTAATCTTTTTATGTAATGGCTTTCTTTATCCCTGGTAATTTTTTTGATCTGAAGTCTACTTTGTTTGATATAAATAGACCTACCCCTCCTTTGTTTTGATTAGTGTTAACATGTTATTTCTTTTTCAGTTTTTTAATTTTTAATCTATAGACGATGTACAATTGAGTCTTGGTTTTTTTTTAATACACTCTGACAGTCTGTGTCTTTTAATCAGTGTGTTTATATCATTGACATTTCATATGATTATTATTGCAGTGGGACTAAAATCTATCATATCTTTTATTGTTTTCTATTCATTGTCCTTATTCTTTATTTCTCTTTTTGTCTTCCACTCTTTTTCTGCCTTCTCTGGGTATGAGCATTTTGTATAATTCCATTGTTTTTCTTCTGTTAGCATATCAATTATACTTTTTTGTGAAACTTTTTTTAGAGGTTGCTTTTGCATTTGCAATATAAATTTACAACTTATCCAAGTCATCTTTTTATTTTTTTTAAAGATTTTTATATATTCACTTTTGGAGACAGGGATGGGAGGGAGAAAAAAAGGGAGTGAAACATTGATGCAAGAGAGAAACATCAATTGGTAGCCTCTTGTATGTACCTCAACCAGGGACTCAACCTGCAACCCAGGCACATGCCCTGACTGGAAATCGAACCAGCGATCTTTTGCTTTGCCGGATGATACCCAACCAACTGAGCCACACCAGTCAGGGCCCCAGTCCTCTCTTAAATAACACTATACTGCTACACAAGTAGTATTAGAACTTCATAGCAGAGTATTCCTAATTCTTCTCTTTAATCCTTTATAACATCATTGTCATTCATTTCCCTTATCTATAAGCTATAATCACTGAATGCCTTGTTCCTATTATTTTGAACTTTTATCTTTTAGATCAATTCAGAATAAGAGACATTAAAGGTTTTATTTATCTTCATCTCTTCCTCCTCTAATACTCTTCCTGTCTTTTTTTACTGTTGTTCAATCACAGTTGTCCCCATTTTTCCCCATCACTCTCCCCCTGTCCCACCCACCTCACCTCCCACATCCAATCCTCTCCTCTGTCCCTGTTGTCCTTGTCCACTGGTCCTTCATACATGCTGAGTTATTGACCTATAGCTTCTTCTATAAAGAACTTCCTTTAACGACTTTTGCAAGACTGATCTACTGGTGACAAATTTCCTCAATGTTTGTTTAAATGAGAAAGTATTTCTCCTTCACTTTTGAAAGGTAATTTCATTGGGGGCAGAATTCAATCTGCTTTTTCTTTGAACACTTTACATATTTCACTCCACTCTCTTCTTGTTTGCGTGATTTCTAAAGATTTTTTTTTCTTTATTTTGATACTTAGTTTAAATGTGGTATGCTTAGGCATAGATGTTTTGGTGTGTATACTGCTTTGGGTTTTCTGAGCTTCTTGGATCTGTGGTTTGTTGTTTATCATTAGGTTTGGGAAATTCTTTCTCCTTATTCCTTCCAATATTTCTGCTGTTTCCTTTTCTATTTCTTCTCCTTCTGATATTCCCATTACATGTATGCTATACCTTTTGTTATTGTCCCAGAGTTCTGGGATATTATGTACTTACTCAATCTTTTTTTCCCTTTGCCTTTTAATTTTGAAAGTTTCTGTTAACATTTCTTCAAGCTCACTGATAATTTTCTCACCTGTGTCTAGTCCATTGATGAGCATAGTGAAGGAATTCTTCATTTTTATTACCATGTTTTTGATTCTAGAATTTCCTTTCGGTTCTTTCTTATAGCTTCTATCTCTCTGATTATATTACCCATCTCTTCTTTTATGTTGCCTGCATTATAGGCCTTAGCATATTAATCATAATTGTTTGAAATTCCCAGTCTAATTCTAACATCTCTTTCAGATCTCTCTCTGGTTCTGATGTTTGCTGTATCTCTTCAAATGGTGGGGAGTTTTTTTGTTTGTTTATTAGTATCTTTTGCAATTTTTTGTTGCAAGGAAGACATGATATAATGGGTAAAAAACAATCAAAGTAAACAGACCTTAAGTGTAATGTTTTGTTTATCTGGCTTGGGTTTAGCCTGTGTTAACTGTTTGCTGTATTTCTAGGTCAGAGACCAAACTTACCTCTGGTGCCCTTGTTTCTATTTCCCCTGTTGTCTTTGGCTTTCCCTAGAGACTTCTTAAATATTATCTGAGAAGCATAGTTATTTTAGTTATATTTCCATGTTATCATCCAGGAAGCCTGCTGATGTGGGGGTAAGGTGTCAGGAGAGGGGTAGCATTCTACAGTCCTCTAATTACAGCTTAGTCTTTTAGGGAGCCTCTGTCCCTGGCCTGTGACCTTCACAAATGCTTCTCACTTTTATTTTGGCTTTGTTTCTTAGAAGAGACAGGAAGACAAGCTGATCTGTACTGGGAATTTCCTTTTCCTAGATCAGCTAAGCTCTGGTAAAACCCCAGCATATTAGGGTCTGGTAAAACAGTTTTTGTTGAGGGTAGGCCTTGTTCAGAAGAGTGAAATTCTCTGTGCATATTATTTAAAAGGCTAATTTTTCTCTCCTCCTCTCAGAAGCATGGAAACATGAGAGATTTTTCTCAGATCTTTATTGTAAAAACTTGATAGGGCTCCTGGAAGTAACACTCACAAAAGTATGGGGTCCCTCCCCCTAGGACTGGGCACCTGTAGAAATTTTCAGTCTCAAACTTGCCCACAGCAAGCCTCTAGCAGTTCATCAGTTACAGATTAGGCTTTTCTAACCCTGTATTTGTTCCCAAGTAGTTTTCTGCTCTTGGGCCTCTACTCTATCTAGTAAGTTTTGATTCTGTGCATATGCCTGCCTAACTCTTCAGTTTTGGGGACAGTAGTTCACCCTAAGTATGACCTCAGTCCTCTGATCTAAGCAAAGTTTATTTTCTGTTTGTTACACATTTTTTTTTCTTGTTCAGTGAATGGGAGAGTTGATTTCCAAGCTCCTTACATGCCTGACTGATATAAATCTAATGGAATTGTTGAGATATTAAATACATTTTTTGTAAAGTTTTCATCTCTTGAAAACTGTTTAAAGTAACTATCTTTTAATTTGTGCACTTTATTTTTCTTTTAAAGGGGTAAAAGGTAAGATCTTTGGAACATTAACTTTTTTTCCTCTCCTTCTCTCTCTTCTTTTTTGTCAAATAGATCCTAAATGCCCAGGAGATGTTGATTTTCATAATAGTGACTGGGACATTAAGACAATCACCAGCTCCTTGAAATTCTACCTCAGGTATGCCTGATATGATTGGGGACTTTGCTTTTCATAGTAGATCAAATTTGTCTGCATGAAGATTGGAGTTAATGTGGTTCCAGTTTCAGGATATTGGATCAGATTGCTAAAGAAAAAGCAAATGAAAAGGATTTCTGTTAAAGAATGTTCATTAGAAAACATTTTTTTTTAAATCTGAGAATTTAAACAAGGGAAGCCTCAAAATAATAGAATTGTTATTGAAAAATGTCTTTTTTAGGAGAAAATTATTTTATTTATTTTATTTTTGATTGAATTTATCAGGGTGACATTGGTTAATAAAATTATAGGTTTCAGGTATACAATTCTATACATCATCTGTATGTTATACTGTGTGTTCACCACCCCAAGTCAAGTCTCCTTCTGTCACCACCTATCGCTCCTTTACCCTCTTCTGCCTGCCCCCACCCCCTTTCCCTCTGGTTATCACCATACTTTTGTTTATGTGTGTTTGTGTCTGGATTTCATAGCTCATGCTTTAATGGATATGATAGGAAAAAAACAATAAAATCCAACCTTAAAAATGTTGGAATTAAATGAAGTGGCAGCAATAGGGGGAAAAAAGTTTACTTCCCAGCAAATTTTGTGGATTTACAATGATGAATATATTGTTCAGTTTGTTGGCATAAATTTATATTATGTAAAAATACTTGTTACATATATATATTTTAAACATTCATTTCTTACCATTCCTTATGTTCCATAGTATGTACCATACTTTATGGGCTAAAATGTCTTATTTTCAATTATTGCACTTTTTAGTCATTAAGATGGATGCTTAAGCTTTGGGAAATATCATTAATCCAAAGTAGATTGGGTCACAGATATTGCTGTTAAATGACCTTTTGCTGTGGCATCATTCCAGGACTTTATATAAACATGAATGGTTTCTTCAGGAGTATTTCTCTTGCATCTGCAAAATAAAGAGATACTGTTGTTGGAGGGTATATTCTGTGCTAGGCAGTGTTCTCCTTGCTTAAACTCACAACATCATTGGACTTTTTTTCCTCACAGTGGCCCTCCATAAGGTAGATGGCACTAATACTCATTTTACAGACAAGGAAATTGAAGTACATCCCCTCCTCTATTAAGTAATATCCATGGTCACAAGTCACATTATTTAAATATCTCTGACTTATAAGTCCGCCTGTATTGTAGCCTCTTCTTCCCTTATTCCTTACCACCAGGGACTGTGGTCTTCTTGGAGTTGCTTGGGTAATTTCTTAAAGATAGAGAAAAATCTACTATGCATATTTTCAGGAGACTTGTGATGATAAGAATAGTGAGAGTAAATGACTCTGTCTGTAGCCTTCTTTAAAGGAGTCAGTTTTTTTCAAACTTTTATGTAGCTTAAATCACTTCACACATTACATCTTCAGTTTACCCCTCAATAAACACTATGACCCTTTTGAAAGATGGGAAGATCGAGCATGAAAGGCTGAGTGGGTAGCACCCCCAATAAGAGATATTTGTCCTTAAGACTCTTATTTATGGGTCTTTAATATGCACTAGCCAGTCAATACCCTTAAGATTTTTCAAAGATATCAGTATTTTCAGAGTGGGCTTCTTCCATATTCTAGGTACATAACTCATCCCTTTTCTGTACCATTTCCAGAAAAATACTCTGAAAGCTATACCATCTCTCTCCTGTATCTTTAACCTCTCTCATTCATCTGGCTCTTTCCTCCTAGCATATAAATATGCTCCAGTAGTGTGCATCTCCTTGACCTTCATTTATTCATTCAATCTACCATCCACTAAGTCATTCAATAAACGTGTCCGGAGTACTGACTCTAAGTCTAGCATAGTGTTAGGCAGTAGGCATACAACTGTGAGTAGATATGCTCACTGACCTTAAAAAGGCTACGAAACAGTGAGGGAGGCAGACAAAAGACAAATAATTATACAAATATAACAAACAATAATAAGGGCTCTGAAGGAAAGGCACAGGTACTGTGGAGGCAAGGAACAGGAAGACCTAATTTATTTTGCTTGTTTGCTTGAACTGAGATTTGAATTATAACTTGGAGGCAACTGTGGGAGGCTTTTCCAGACAGAATTGATCATGCAAAGGCCTGAAGCAAGAGGGAAGAAGACCTCTTGAAGAATGTCCATGTACCTATTTATAGGTGGAGTATTGAGTGTAGAGAGGGAGGGAGAGATATGTAGGGCCCATTTCATGTGAGGCCTTATAAGACATTGTAAGAATTGGGGTCTGATCCTGATTGGTATATCTCAGTTGGATGGGCATCATCCTGTAAAGCGAAAAGTCACTGGTTTGATTCTCGGTCAGGGCATATGCCTGGGTTTTGGGCAGGTCCCTGGTTGGGGCATTCGAGAGGCAACCAGTCAATGTTTCTCTCTCACATTGATGTTTCTCTCCCTCTCTCCCCACCCCATCCCCTCTCTCTAAAAATAAATAAATAAAATCTTTAAAAAAAAGAATTTGGGCCTGGATTTATCTTTAAAGGGATGGGAATATATAAGGGCAGGCAAAAATAAGTTAATGATTGTGAGTATGTGAAACAGTATATTCTTGTGTTATTATTTATTGTATTATCTTCCATACAAGAAACTGTAAACCTACTTTTGTCCACCCTGTATTGAAAGATTTTAAGCGGGAGATTACATGATGAGATTTGTATTTTGAAAAAAAAATACAGATCATATTAGAGGGAGGCAAAATAGGTATAGGTGGAAACCAATTACCAGGGTATTGCTGTAGTCCGGGAAAGACATTGTGCTTCTCCTTGGACCAGGGGTAGCAGTGGACATTAGTAGAAATAAGCCTAGTCAAGAGATTTAGCTCTATGATTGTCTTAACCACTATACTGCACACATGAAACTAATTGAAAAAAATTTTTAAATTAAAAAAAGATTTAGGGAGTGCAATTGGATATTAGGATGGGGGAGGGGGAGATAGAAGAATGACTTCCATGTTTCTGGCCCATGCAACCAAATGATAGTCATGCATTTACTGACTTGGGAAACACAAGAAAAAAGTGCTAGATTTGAGATAACAAGTTATGTTTTAGATATGCCAAATTAGGATGTCTTTGAAGAAATCAGGAGAGGATCTTAAGCAGGGAATTGGCTATATTGAGAATATAGAGGAATGAAACTCAGTGAAGAATTCTGGTCTTGAGATTAAAAAAAAAATTGAGAATCATTGACAATGTGAAGATGATTGGAGGTAGGAACTTAGATGAGATTGCCTAATGAAAGAGATACTCACCCTCTTCCAAACTAACTAAACTTCGGTATACAAAGTAACTCTGTCTCTATTTAACCTCCCAGTTTACTCTTTAACTCATTGCAACCTGACTCCCAGCCTCTGCTCTATTGAAGTTTCTCTTAGCAGGCTCGCCAGTGACTCCCCTAATGCCAAACACAACAGACAATTGTTGTCCTCTATCTTATTTAACCTCTTTGTCTCATTTAAAGGTGATAGCAAGCCCCTTCTGAACCTTACCCTTCTTTTGGATTCTGCTATATCTCTCGCTTTTGGATTTCCTTCCACCTCTTTCACCAATTTTGGCAGCCCTATTTATTTATGAAGTTTCTATCTGCTATTCCCCAGGGCTCTCCTCTTTTTTTACTGCACTGGAGGGATGGAAAATTTAAATATCTACAGGAACCAAGACATGAAAATGAGTGCGACGTAGACTACTTCCATATTAAACATATTGCACATGGAACCTTTCATTTTATAGCAATCCCTTTTTTTATATATAAACAGCAATATTCTTTACTTCCACAAATAACCATATGGGCCCAATGTAGCGAGATATTTCCATTTTTTTTTCAATAGAGCCATAAAATATGGATTTTTGTGTGAAATATGTATCTCAATTTTTAATATTCTGATGACTGATTCAATACCATCTCTCTTTTATAAACTATTCTGGACAAATAAGTGTTTGAAAGTCTGATGTAGCTGCTGGCTGCCAGATAGCTGTCTCTCCTTGAGCAGTTGTATCTGTTCTCATGCCTTTAACCAGTCTCTTAGGTTCCTCATTTTTATATATACTTCTCAGATCCAGAAGTTCACTCCATCCATCTTCCTAAAGGACAGCTCCCTTTGGCTGTCCCGATGGCCCCTCTGACTTTACATCTCCTCTTCACTTAGAATCAATTTCTAGTCTATCCAGTCACCTAAACCATATTACTCTTTCTATCTTTACTGTCTTTCAATAATTCCCCTAATATTTTCTTTCTGCTTCTAATGCCACAATTTTACTTAGGCCTTCATATCTCTCACCCAGGTTACTACGGTGATAACAGTGGCAAGCAGTATAGCATAGTGATTATGAGCGTGGACTTGAGGCAGACTGCCTGGTTTTGCACTCATTAGCTGGGTGGTCTTGAATGAATTATTTAACTTTGAGAAAGCCCAGTTTCCTCATCTATAAAATGGAGATATTAAAAGTACCTATTTGATAGGTTGTCATGAGGATTATATTAGTAAATATAAGTAAATCACTTAGAGCAGTGAAGAGTTTGCCATTATTGTTATTATTATTATTTTTGGTGGATTACTTTCTTCCTCTGAGTCATCCACCACCTCCCTTTATATTATCATCACACTTGTCCCGTTGCATTGCAAATTTTGTGTATGACACTCTCCTCAATTAGACAATTAGCTCCTTGGAGGTTTGGACTATGCCATACTTATCTCTGGATCCCCAATATTGGTACAAAGCCATACACAAATAGATGCTAAGTTATTATTTTTTTTTTTACTAAATCCATTTCAACCTCAATTTCCCCCTCTATTTGATGGGGATTTGAATAACTGCTGTGCCACACAGGATCATTTGAAGGATCAAATGGGAGGACAGATGTGAAAGCAACTAAGCAACTGTCAAACGGGAAAGACTCCATAGTAGTGCTCAGAGTGTGTCCACTTGGAATTTTGCAGGATTTGTTTGCGCCTGGTTTCATTTTGGGGAATGAATTGAAGATGTTGCTCAAGGTCTCAGCCCATACTTTTACAGGCCTTCTGTTGAGTTACTAGCAAGTAGGATTCCTATGACAAAGTGTCAGGTGAGGAGAGAACTGCGTGTAGTCACATGAAGCTGTGAGGCTCAGAAACCTCAGCCTTGATACCCACAGAACTGAGAATTTGAGACCTGGCTACTACCTTCCCAAAGGAACTTACAGTCTTCATTAATTTCAGGAATCTTTCTGAACCTGTCATGACCTATAGACTACATAAAGAGTTGGTCTCTGCTGCCAGTAAGTATTTATATTACCAGTTAATTGTGTTGTCCTGGCTTCCTAATATTTATAGCAATAAGCCTAGAAAACTGCTTCAGGGAAAGTAATTAAGGGGAAAAAATACACCCAGTTTGTATTCACTGCCAAATGAAAGTATTCGCGCTTGCTCTTTAACTCAAGTGTTGTATAATTTTTCATAAATCAATGTTAGCGGAGTGGTTTGGAGGGAACTGGCTCCCTGGAGGGATGTGATAGGTGTGAGGGCTTAATTGATTGATTGTGCCTCCTCCATCAGAGGAAGAGCAATGGCTCACACCACTGGGGGCCAGCACAGTGGTTGCTGTTTCAGGTTGTTTCCAGCACTTTGCCTTTTCAAGTGCTTTTCAATTGACTTGTGAATCATTACTCCTAATCTGTTAGTTGCTCGAGTCACGTTTTCTGGATGTTAAAACTGCAGGTGAGGGTGGAAAGGCACATGGGAAATAAGGCATATAGAATCACCCGAAAAGTTGGCAGCTGAAGAAGCATCAAAAATTTTGGCCGAGGTCCCTGTATAAGTATTTCTGCCTACTTTGATGTGACCCTTCTCCTGCATTGTGCCTAAGTGGTGTACAGGAAAAAGAGCCAGGGGACTTGGCCTCATAGTAAATCTTTGTTGAGACAAGATACCTGTGATCTTTACTCTGAACCCTGTTAGTGGTTTTCTTAGGAACCCAGAGGTAGGAGCATGCCTCCCAGTACCACAAGGATGGTGGGTGGGCAAGGGTTTCATCTGGAAATTTACATGTGGAACGTCAGGAGCAATCTGCTTTACCCCAACTTCTGAATGCCTCTGAGACGGTCTTATCTTCTCATCTTTCTCCTCTCTTCTAATTTCTTTGTTTTTCTAGACCTATTTCCTTCTTTTTGTTTCTCTCTTTTGCCTTTTGGTGTCTCTTTCTCTCTGTCTGTTTCAGTGTCTTCTATCTTACTATATTTTTGCCATTGTGTTTCTATGCCTATTTATCTCTCTCTCTCTCTCTCTCTCTTCATCTAACACTCTCTGTGTCTCTTATTTAACTTTGCATGTGTGCGTGTGTGTGTGTATGTATGAGAATTTGCTTGATCCAATTGCCCAGAAAGCAAAACTCTCTGTCTCTCTTCTCTCTCAGAGTCTGACAACTTGGATTATCGGCTGGGAGCTATTCATTCCCTGGTATATAAGCTACCAGAAAAGAACCGGGAGATGCTGGAACTTCTTATAAGACACTTGGTCAAGTAAGTAACTTTTGGAATTTCAGAAAGAGTTCCTATTAGAGAACTGGACCACAGGGTAGCTCTGCAAAGAAATTGCCTGTCATCTCTAAGTCCCAGCCATCACCTGCTTCATCCAGGGCCTGCTGCATGCTCTGTAAGGAAGGTGATTTTGCCTGGACCCTTGTTTATATCCTCCCAGAGTTGCTGTGCATCTCATTTGAGGGGTTGCCTCAGCTGAGGGGCAACTCCAGGTAGACTGGGGTGAACAGAGGCCTTGTTCTCAGATAAATGTGTTTTCGAATTCCAACTCTACCACTTATTTAGCTGGAAAATGTTAGCCAAACCTCTCTTAGACTCTGGTTGGTCATCTCTAATATCAGAGGAGTATTGCCCACCATGCAGTGGGCTGCGGTGTGGATTTGAAGGAGCACAGGTAAACTGCATGGCATATAGGAGTTCTCTAAGACATTGGAGACATTGGGCCCTGGCTGGTGTGGCTCAGTGGATTGAGTGCCGGCTTGCAAACCAATGGGTTGCTGGTTTGCTTCCCAGTCAGGGCACGTGCCTGGGTTGAGGGCCAGGTCCCCAATGAGGAGCGTGCAAGAGGCAACCACACATTGATGTTCCTCTCCCTCTCTTTCTCCCTCACTTCCCCTCTGTCTAAAAATGAATAAATATATGAAATCTTTAAAAAAAGAAATGGGAGATAGTGTTCAGATTATGGTTGACTTCTTGCTGGGGTGTGGCAGGCCACAACAGACAGCAGCATTCTACAGAGTAGGCCTGGTGATGGGCCCTACGATGGGTGGGTGTAAGGGGCATGTGTGCCCCACTGTGGTGCTTCCTGGCCAGAGGGTTCAATAATGTGAATAAAGATGAATTTAGTTGACTCATATAGGGCCAGCTGCTGCCTCTCTGGAAGCAGCATGGCGCTGCAGAAAGCACTCTGTCCGAGTCAGAAAACCTGGGTTGTACTTTCAAGGCCACTCTTGGTATTGTAAAGAGTAAAGAAATGAGACAACAAGCTTAGAAAAAAACTTTATGCATTTTAAGCGTGTTTAACAAAATAAAGCTATCCACACACACACCAAAAATGCTGTGATGATATACTTTAACCTCACTTGGAAAGGATCTCAAACACTGAGATCCTCAATGCAGGCGAGGGTGCTGGCTAAGTGGCCCTCTTGGCCTCCCTCTGTGATAAATCCTCTGCCTCATTGGGCCTCGGATTCCCTGTGATATAATGAGATATCTCTGAGGTCTGATCCAGCTCCGACAGTCTACATTTTTGATGAGTATTATAGACAATAACGTAGATAAATAAGCAGAATTGACAAGAGGATGGCTTTTATATTTATTGCCAATGTTTGCAATTTGGGCAAATAGAGAGACTAGTAAGAGACACTTCCTTTTGAAAAAGTTGTTGGTGATTAGGTCAGTAAAAGCACAAAAAATCAGCACATGAGCCATTTGCACGTTAATTTGAAGTTGCTCTGGGGAAACGGTCTTTGTGTTCAAGTTCCAGCTGTAGCACTGATTTGCTGTGTGACCTTAAGTAGGTTCCACCTACTCACTGGGTTTCAGTTTGTCCACCTATGACATGAGGGGACTGGACTAGCTAATCTTAAAGGGTTCTTCCAGCTCTGATTTTCAGAGTCTCAATACATGACAGGAGGCAATGATTTGGTTGAGGACCCTTCTGTTAGCAGTGGGTGAGCATCACCTTCCTCCACCTTTCCAATGGTTGGCCACCTGCCTGGCTTTAAGAATCTTGGTCCCTAAAATCCCTAGAGCAAAATGAGCGAGAGACAACACAGAAATAGAAAGACAGATAACATGAAATATATGAAAAACTGCTCAGGTTCACTCATAATAAGAAAAAAATGCAACTTAAACCTCAACCATCTATTGGCAAATCCTAAGGCTTGACTGCATTCTCTGTTAACGAGGCTTTGGGACAATAGGTACTTTAATACATTGTTGGTATTAATGCAGTGTTCACCTAGGGGGGGGAATTTGGCAATATTTAACAAATCTGCATATTGTTACCCTTTGACTCAGTAATCCACTTCTAGGCCTCTACTTTGAAGACACCTCCACAAGTAAAAAAAAAAAAAAAAAAACAACATATGCACAAGGCCTATCATTGTAGCATAATTTTTAATAGCAAAAGATTGCAAACAACACAAATGTTTAATAGTAAGGGACTAGTTGAGTAAGTAGTGGTATATTCAAATGGTGTGGTATGATACAGTCATAGCAAAGAATGGAAAAAAAAACTATTGACGTTGTTTTTGTTAGTGATTTCCAGGATACTTTGCAAATTTCCAGCATGTAAAACAGACAAAAACAACTACAAAAGACCAAGGTGTAAAACAGGGTATTTAATATTGCTGTTTCTTGTAAGAAAAAAGAGGGAAATAAAAATATATAGGAATGTAAACACATATTTTCTTACTTTTTTCAAATGAAGCCCAGTAAGGTAGATAAAAAACTAATGACTCAAAATGCTAACATATTTACCATATGACCCAACAATTCTGCTCCTAGGTATATACTGAAGATAAATGAAAAGATATGTCCACACAAAAACTGGTGCACAAATATTCATAGTAACATTATTCATAGTTGCCTAAAGTTAAAGACAACACAAATGATCATCAACTGATGAATGGAAAAAATAAAATGTGATATAAACATACAGTGGAACATTATCTAGCCATGAAAAGTAGTGAAGTAATTGTATATGGATAAACCTTGAAAACATTATGCTAAATCAAAGAAGCCATACACAAAAGACCACATATTATATGATTCCATTTATACAAAGTGTCCACAGTAGACAAATGTAGGGAGACAGAAAATAAATCAGTGGTTGCCTAGGGGTGTGATGTGGGGACATCAAAGCAAATGGGGAATGAAACTAATGGTTACGGGTTTTTTTTTTTGAGTCGCGAAAATGTTCCAGAATTAGTGGTGATGTTCACACAAATCTGTGAATATACAAAAAACATTGAATTGTACCTTTTCCCCATTAAAATGGTGAATTGTATGGTATGTGAAATAGATCTCAGTAGAGCTGTTATAAAAACAAATCAATAAAACTGGTTAATAAAGGGGACAGGCAATAGAGTGAGGTGGCTATGGAATGAGAACTAGATTCCTCTAAGTCCATCTCCTTCTGTGGTTTTGACTTTTCAGCCATATTGATTTTTCATATAACCAAAAAGTAAAATTTAATCAAAAGTAAGACATTACAAACTCTAAAATTGAACACACAAAGCAAACAAATCTAAATGTTTATCAAATTGATAATGTAGACACAGAGAAAAGTTATTTCAATTAACTTATCAACACAGCCCTCTAAGTAATTTTTAATGAGACGTATTCTAAGACAGAACTGAAAAAACATTGTAAGCATAAACCAGTACATTTATTAGTACTATTTTATTATTATTATTATAATTAGAAACTATTTTATGTATATATATCTCACAAGAATAAAGCAAAAAAAGTAACTAAATTAATATTATCAGAAGCCAAGATATATAGTACAAGAAAAAGAGATACAAATACAAATTTCAAAATGTGGAGAAAAAAAATTCTGTAATGGTAAAGTCGAGTTGAGAATGGCAATACAAACTCCCGGTTTTAAAACAAAGCAACAAAAACTGTGAATCAATCCTGAAGTGATTCTACTCAAAAAAGCAATGGGTACACATAATGCCCTGATCTTTGTTTATAAATAACATTCCCTTCTCAAAAGTACCAAGGCTTCTTAGAGAAGTGGCTGAGGTCAGCTCTGGGGCCAGGAAAATACAAGGAGAGCCTTGGATAAAGTGTACCTTTGTAAGCAAAGAACAGCTCAAGAACTAATAAGTGCATCATATCACAAGAGCACAGGAATCTGTTTGAAAAGGCTAACACTGATTACATCTGGGGGCATTGTGAACATCAAAAATAGTAAATATTATACTGGATTATAACACTTTCAATAAATAAAAATTTACGAGAAGTAGGTGGAATAAAGGAAGCTCTTTAGTATCCCTGGCTGGTGTGGCTTAGTGGATTGAGCACTGGCCGGTGGACCAAAAGGTCGGTTGTTCAATTCCCAGTCAGGGCTGGGTTGTGGGCCAGGTCCCCAGCAGGGGGCGTGTAAGAGGCAACCAATTACTGTTTTTCTCACACATCATGTTTCTCTGCTCTCTTCCTTCCTCCTTTCCCCTCCCTCTATAAGTAAATAAATGAAATCTTTATTAAAAGCTCTTTAGTAAAGAATGACAGTAATAAGTTGTGGAAGGAATGATAGAATTATAAAAACTATTGCTTTGCAACCTCAGTGTCCTAGCTGTTTCAGGCATGGGTCAAAACCATTGGGCAAAAAATTGTTCAGGAACAAGACATTCATGTAGTTTTACTGTATTACCCACAGATTACTTGCTAATTACAAATGGAAAAATGTACCGTTACAGTGAAGATATCTGAAAAACACCATTTTAATTAATTGATCAGAATTAGCATTGCTGAGCTGCCATCTTGAGTCCGTGTGTGCACACGCGCACGCTTATTCTCAGCTGGTCAGCCCGAGACCCCCTTATCCCCAACCGTAGTCCCCTGCAAGGCCCTGCCTCCTCTCCAAGAAGATGAAAGAAAGTATGCTGAACTGGGAGAAACTTGCCAAACTGCAGGCATGAGTGTGCATTGGAGGGAAAGGAACTGCTCATCTTGTAGAAAAAAGAAGATAGTTCACAGAACAGCTACAGCAGATGATAAAAAACTTCAGTTCTCCTTAAAGAATTTAGGGGTAAACAATATCTCTGGTATTGAAGAAGTAAATATGTTCACAAACCAAGAACAGTTACCCACTTTAACAACCCTAAAGTTCAGGCATCTCTGGCAGTGAACACTTTCATCATTACAGGCCATGCTAAGACAGAGCAGCTGAGAGAAATGCTGCCCAGCATCTTAAACAAGCATGGTGCAGACAGTCTGACTAGTTCAAGGATACTGGCTGAAGCTCT